AAATTTGTTAAAATTTTAATAGAAAATTTAAATTGCAGTCATTAGTTAGAATTTCTTTATGGTTTTAAATTTGAATAACAAAAGTTTAATCTTTAAAATATGTTTTTAAATATGTACACAAAAAAGGTTTAAATATGAAATACATATGTTGCCAAATTATTATACAGTTTCTTACAAAGAAAGCCTGATATCTTGGCTTTATTATTCCATTACAATTTGAAAAATCTTTACGCAGATGTTCTAGTTATAGATAGTTTTCTAAACTAACCTATAAATAACAATTAGTTATACGTCCCGTATGACAAATAATCGAATTAATAGAATTATAATACCGAAGGATTTTAACAATTTATATATTAAATATATAACTTGATGTCTTGGCTTTTAGATGCCATTAACATTTTTAAAATCGTTTACAAATTTCTCAAGTTATGGGTAATTTCCCATATCAACCTCTAAATAAATATTAATCATACGTCTAGTATGACATAAATAAATTTTAAATTGATTAAAAATCCTAAATTCAAGTAAAAGTTTACAATTTCTTTTTTTATTATAAAAGTTTACAAAATGATGTAATGAAATAAAAAAATTAAAGTTCAATTATTTATTTGTTTTGAAAAATTTGCAAAAATATAAATTTTCAAAAAATTCTGCAAAATTATAAAGAATTGAAACGGAAGAAACAAATATATGAAAATCAAGTCTTTTCTTTCATATCAGGTTAAATTGGCCGAAATCTCTAAACAATTGTTGGAGTTATGATTAATAGTCTAAGCTAACCTTTAAATATGAATGTTTTGAAAATTTTCAAAAAGTAAAAAATTTGCCAAAAATAGAGTTTAACGCACTAGAAGTTAAATTATACTTAAAAGTAGAAAATGAAGGCTTCTCTTTTATACAACATTACAATTTTAAAATTCCATGGACCATTCTCAAAATTATGGACTATTTTCTGAACTAACCTCTTTATAAATATTGTAAAAATTTAAAAAAATTTTAAATTTAAAAATTTACTAAAATTATACATTAATGTAAAAGAAGTTAAGTTATAACTTTATATATGAAATGAAGAGTTTTCTTTCATATGACATTAAAATTGTGCAAATCCATTTAAAATTGTTGAAATTATGGCAAATTTTCTAAACTAAACTCTAAAAAAATATTAATCATACGTCCAAAAATATTAAAGGATTTTAAATATTTTAATGCCAAATTGAAGCTAAGAAAGAAAATGAAGACTTCTCTTTTATACAACATTACAATTTTAAAATTCCATGGACTATTCTCAAAGTTATGGGCAATTTTCTGAACTAACCTCTTTATAAATATTGTAAAAATTTAAAAAAAATTTAAATTTAAAAATTTATTAAAATTATAAATTAATGTAAAAGAAGTTAATTTATAACTTTATATATAAAATGAGGAGTTTTCTTTCATACTAAATTAAAATTGTGCAAATCCATTTAAAATAGTTCAAATTATGACAAATTTTCTAAACTAAACTCTAAATAAATATTAATCATACGTCTTGTGGGGCAAATTAATACTTTTGCTTATAGAAGCCACAAACATTAAAAGATTTTAAATATTTTAATGCCAAATTAAAGCTAAGAAAGAAAATGAAGGCTTCTCTTTTATATAACATAACAATTTTAGAAATCCATGGACCATTCTCAAAGTTATGGGCAATTTTCTGAACTAACCCCTTTATAAATATTGTAAACATTTACAAAAATTTAAAGTTTAAAAATTTACTAAAATTATAAATTAATGTAAAAGTAGTTAAGTTATTACTTTATATATAAAATGAGGAGTTTTCTTGCATATGTCATTAAAATTGTGGAAATACATTTACAATTGTTGAAATTATGGCAAATTTTCTAAAATAAACTCTAAATAAATATTAATCATACGTCTTTTAGGACAAATTATACTTTTGCTTATAAAAGTCACAAATAAGAAAGGATTTTGAATATTTTAATGCCAAATTAAAGCTAAGAAAGCTATTGATGATTTCTTTTAAAAGTTTTAAACAAAAATTCTATACTGCTTCGTATAGGGTACTAAACCAACTTGTTATTATTAAAAATATGTTAACATTTAAATTAATAGAATTATAATAACAGAAATTAATAAAATTATATAAATACATAAATAAAAACAATAATTACTATAATATAAAAAAATTAAAACAAACTTAAATTACGGAAATAAAAACATAAAAGTTAAATTAAATATAATAAAATATTATTAATTAAATATTTTTATTATTTTTTTTGTTTCAAATAAATATGTTTATTTAAATTAATTTATACACACATTTTTATTTATGAACTTACCACTGAACAATTTGAATTTATAATCCTTTATACTTTGTGTTAATTTTATACAATTTATACAATATTTTTGTTGTTGTTGTTGTTCAATAATGAGTTGTTAATCATTAATATTAACAACAAAAATTGTAACAAAATGTATAAGCAATTAATGTAGCATTTTTTTTGTTTTTTTTTTGTTTCGTAAAAAAAATTTTTTAAAAAAAGAGATAAAATACAATTAATATTAGCAATTCATAAAATAATTAATGCATTCATACTGTTTTTTCATCATTCAATTAAAATTATTCATTAAAGTAAATAAATCATAAATAAAATAAATTGTTTTAAAAATACCTGCCTTTTTAAAATAAATTTTTAATTAATCAATTTAAATAAATATTTAAAATAGTGGTTTAAATTTAAATTGTATTTTCTTGTTTGTCTGTTAAGGAACCTTAAATTTATAGACTTATTTACCAATTGTTTTTTTTTTTCTTATATTTAATACTAAACTTAATTTTTCTAATGATCTTAAAAATATTAAAAAAATTTACTACGTATTTGTTGTTTAGGTGAATGATGGTGAGCGAAGGTGTTTAATTTTTTTTTTTTAATTTTCCATTCAATAAGAATTTTGTTTACAATTTAGCAAATACTTTTAAACAGGAGGCAAATATTTTAAGTTGAAAAACCAACTTAAAAAATTTTCTAAAATTTAAAATTTTTTTAAAAATATAAAGCAATGTATTAAAACTCTAAATAGTCTCTAGATCTATAAAATGAAATGTTTTCTTTTATATGTCTTTAAGATTGTTCAAATCTGTTAACAATTGTAGAAATTATGTTTAATTTTGTAACCCAACCTCTAAATAAATATTAATCATACGTCTAGTAGGACTAAAATTTTAAATTTTAAAAAAATCCTAAATTAAATTAAAAAGTTTTAAATTTCTGTTATATTAAGAAAGTCCATACCTTTGATGATCTAATATAAACATTTATTAATATGTATTTTTTAAGCTCATATAATTTTGGGAAATTTTTTAGAATTTTAAAAAATTTCGTAAAAATATAAATTAATATAAAAAAAGTTAAATTATTACGCAATATATGCAACCAAGTCTTCTTTTTCAATTTATATTATTTCTTTTTAAATTTCTTGAATATTTTTAAAGTTATTAGCAATTTTATGAACAAATGTTTAAACAAACATTTGGAAAAATTTTTGTAAAATTTAAAAATTTACCAAAAATAGAAATGATGGCAAGAGAAGTTAAAATATACCTAAAGCTATATAATATAGCTTTCTCTTTCTTACACCGTTAAAATTTCTTAAATCTCTGTATAAATATCAAAGTTATGCACAATTTTCTAAACATTAATTTCTTAAAAAATTTATAAAAATTTTTGTAAAAAAAAATTAAATTGAAAAATTTTTTTAAAATATAAGTGATTGCAGTAAAATGAACAAATTTATTGGGATATATAAAATTAAAGCACTGCTATCATTTCCTACATATTTTATCAAAATCTATAAACAATTGCAGAAGTTATGAGATATTTTCTGAGCTAACTTCTAAACATTTTTTTTGAAACCTTAAAAAATTACCAAAAAATTTCAAAGAATGTTGCAGAGCTAAAGCTTTACTGTAATATATTAAAAGCTTTTCTTTCATTTCCTTTCAAAATTTTCAAAATCTATGGTTAACTAATAAACTTATGGCAAATTTCCTTAACAAACCTTTTAATTAATATTAATCATACGTCTAGTATGACCAAATTATTTAATTATTAAAAAACTAACAAACGAAAGCAAAAAGTTTTAGTTTTCTTTTAGTTTATGAAGAAAAACAATCAAAGCTATTAATGTATGAAATATGGAGTTACAGCCTGAATATATAAACTAGTTTTTGTGCGTTTTTTTTTTAAATTTCTTTTAAAGTTTTAAAAAATCTTTTAGAGTTGGGTTGTTATTAGCTTCAACTTAAAATATTTGCCTTTATTTTTCGAATATTTGCTTTTTGTGTTTTATGTTTTTAATGTTTTTGTAACACTAATTTATAATTTCTTTTGTTTTTTTTTTCTTAAAAAATTTAATAAATTTTATGTTTAATTTTTTAAAAACACTTTTATTTAAATTACAAATTAGAGCAGTTAAGAAAATAAATAAAACTAAATATTTCCTTTCAAATAATATATATAAATATGCTTTACTTTTTGTTTTCTTATATTCAATACTGCGCAAACAGTCTTCTTTGTGAACAATGCAGCTAAAAAAACCAAAGGGAAAAGAAAGTACGAAAAAAAACAAGAAAAACACAATAAGGCGATAAAATTGTGACTGTAGCTTAATGACAAAAAGGATAATTACATAAAGTTTGGGAAAGGAGTTGTAAGGTATTTGCTAAATTTAACTAAGGGGAAAGGGGGAGTATGTATTGAGTTAATTTTTTTTTATATATACAAAAATTTCTTAATTTTGGTTTTTTTAATAGATAATAAATTATAACTACTTGGTTTGGTTTTGGTTTTTGGTTGGTATTAAATTTACTATTTATATTTAACTATTTATAGGTTGTTTGTCTTGGTTTTTGTTTTTTTTTTGGTAGTTTTGTAATAAAATTATTAATTGTTCTAGAATTTCATATAATTAAAATCATTTATCAAATGCGGGCTTACCTCTTCATCGACCGTACTGGGATACATGCGCACGGGTAGATTTTTCTCCAAACTAAAATGATCTTCGGTTGTTTTGCGATAAACTGGATTTTCGAAATTCATCGAATTAATAGAGCGCCTGCTGCAGTAGCGATAACCGCTATAAAGTAGCTGCAGAATACAAACATAAATGTTATAATTTTCTTAGATTTGTTTTTCTTTTAGAAGTATTTCACTACTTACCACTCCCAATACTAGTGAGGTGCCCAGTAAGCTACCTATCACTATTAAAGCAATATAACCCGAATCAGGTTGTGTAGTTGTTGTTATAGGACTGCCATCATTATTATGTGTACCATTTCCGGTGGGATGTTTATTAACTAAATTTAAAATTAAAATATATTTTAATATTTATGTGATATTTTGCATCAACTTTTTCATTAGCTAACCACCACCAGTATTATAAGTTAAAAAAATTAAACTAAAAAAATCATAAAAAACAAACTAAAAATAAACAACAAACTAATTAATATTATTAATATTTAACAATAACAGAAAAAAAACCAACACCATTTTTTTAATAAAATTTTTTTTAACGATTTTTTCTTCAACAAAAACTACAAAATGTATAAAAATGAATAACAAACAAATTATAAAATTAAATAAATATTTAATGAATTAGCTAAAAGGAAAAAATGACAAATATTAAAAAAAATACATTTATTTATAACATAAAAGGTTAAAACATTTATGTAATATGTATTTTTGTTCAAATTATTTTCAAACTTTTAATACTTGAAAAAAAAAAACGATTTTCAACAAATAAAAATTTTCAAAAAAATATAAATGCAGCTGATAGAAGTTTAAAGAAGTTAAATTAAATAAAATTAAGTAAAACTTTCACAATTTGTTATTAGTTTTCGCTGTTATGGTTAATTTTCTTACCTAAACTCTTAAAAAAGAACGTTTTTCAAAAGTTTAAAAATTTATTAAAAATATAAACGAAAACGCTATAAGTTTTATTATGCTAATATAAATAAAATGAAGACTTCTCTTCATATAACATTTAAATTTTCAAAATCTGTTGATAATTGTCGCAGTTATGGTTATTTTTTTAACATAACCCCTCAATTAATATTAATCATACGTCCAGTATGACATAAATTTAAATAAATATAAAATTAATGATCTTTAAAGGTTTTAATTTTCTTTTATATATCAAAACGTCACAAAATAGTATAAAAACACTAAAGAAAGTTAACTGCAACTAAGAATATGTCTTGTTACTTCATACTGTTTAAAAATAATTTTGAAAATTTTTTGGGCAAAATTAAAAAAATTTGACAAAAATATAAATTAAAGTAAAAAAAGTAAAACTATATTGAAATACATAAAATGAAGGATTCTCTATCATCTAACATTAAAAACCCGCATGTCAATGACAAATTTATTGTTAATATTCTTTATTAAACATCTACTAATGAAGATTTTGAAAATTTGTTTAAAATAAAAAATTGTCAAAAATACAATTCAATGTAAAAAAAGTTAAGTTATATCTTAGTATATAAAGTAAAGTCTTCTCTTTCATAAACTGTTAAAATTTTCCAAATCTGATAATAAAAGTAAAAATTATGGTTAATTTTCTAATCCAACCTCTAAATTAATATTACTCATACGTTTAGTATGACGAAAATTTAAAAATTTTCTAAAAAAAACTTAAATGATTAATAAAACTTAATACACAAAGTCATGTAACAAAATTTAAAAAAAAAAATACAAAAAACTTGATTTCCTAATTCCTTGGCTTATTATTCGACAACAAAAATCTTTAGCACAAAAAGAAATAAATTTATTTAATTAAGTCTGTCATTCAAACAGTTTTACAAAACGGAAATGTAAAACAAAACCTTCATAAAAAGCAAACAACTTTAACTAGTAATTCATTTTAATAATAAACAAAATGACAACTTGTAGTCCAACTTAAATATATACAGAAATAAATGAAATGTTTTATAAATTTTAACTGTTACTAATATTTTGTCATTAAAGGATTTCCTCTATTGTCCGCGTATAGAGATGAGTGTAGGTTTTAATGTTGAAAACTTAACGTTGTGGAAAAATTATTGTCACAAACAATGTCATCATAATCATCATCATCATGATGATGATAATGCTGAAGCCTTGCTGTCTTCGTCATTGTCAACATTATGGTCTTGTTTGAAATGTCATTTGTAATATTTTAAATATTTATGTATGTGTTTGTTAGCTCAAGAGAGAGAAAGCACTTGTACTTGTTTGTAGGCCGGTTTCCGTTTAACACAATTTTCTGTTTCCGGTAGCGACTCAACATGTTGTCTTTTTTTTATATTTATTTATTTTAACTACATGCTGTTTATGGATTTTTCGCTTTCTTTTCAAAAAAAAAAAAAAAAATAAAAAATTCAAAACAAGCAAATAAGTCACACAAGTTACACACATATTTGTAACAGTAATTGACAAAAAAATCTTCTTTTCATTATAATTTATGTATATTTTCTGGTTTGTTTGCTATTAGTGTTAAAGAAGCCAGAAAAAATTATTCTTCTTTGATTCGTCCCAGCCTTACCATCCTTATTACAAAGAGTGACATTAAGTACAAACAATTTTATTTAATATTATTATTTTACAAATGCAAATAAGTGGTTGACTGCTTTTAGAATTTATTTTTCCTTTTCAACTTTCATTTTCACTTTTATTCTATTATATTCTCTTCTATGATAAAAAGGCCTTACACGGTAATTGGCTGGGGGTTTTATGAGAAATTGTGAAAATATTGTAGAACAATTTGCTAAAATAAAGCATAATTGGACTAAAGAAATCAATATATAGTATAGTCTAATTTATAGTCTAGTCTATTTAGTCTATAGTCTAGTCTATAGTCTAGTCTAGTCTAGTCTAGTTAGTCTAGTCTATAGTCTAGTCTATAGTCTAGTCTATAGTCTAGTCTATAGTCTAGTCTATAGTCTAGTCTATAGTCTAGTCTATAGTCTAGTCTATAGTCTAGTCTATAGTCTAGTCTATAGTCTAGTCTATAGTCTAGTCTATAGTCTAGTCTATAGTCTAGTCTATAGTCTAGTCTATAGTCTAGTTTAGTCTAATCTATAGTCTAGTTTATAGTCTAGTCTATAGTCTAGTCTATAGTCTAGTCTATAGTCTAGTCTATAGTCTAGTCTATAGTCTAGTCTATAGTCTAGTCTATAGTCTAGTCTATAGTCTAGTCTATAGTCTAGTCTCTAGTCTAGTCTAGTCTAGTATAGTCTAGTCTATAGTCTAGTCTATAGTCTAGTCTATAGTCTAGTCTATAGTCTAGTCTATAGTCTAGTCTATAGTCTAGTCTATAGTCTAGTCTATAGTCTAGTCTATAGTCTAGTCTATAGTCGTTTATAGTCTAGTCATAGTCTAGTCTATAGTCCATCTAATAGTCTAGTCTATAAAGTCTAGTCTATATCTAGTCCTATAGTCTAGTCGATAGTCTAGTCTATAGTCTAGTCTATAGTCTAGTCCTAGAGTCTAGTTATAGTCTAGTCTATAGTCTAGTCTATAGTCTAGTCTATAGTCCTAGTCTTCGTCTAGTCTATAGTCTAGTCTATAGTATAGTCTATAGTCTGTCCTATAGTCCTAGTCTATAGTCTAGTCTATAGTCTAGGCTATAGTCTAGTCTATATTCTAGCTATAGTCTAGTCTATAGTCTAGTCTATCTATAGTCTAGTCTAGTCTATAGTCTAGTCTAGTCTTATAGTCCATGTCTAGTCTATAGTCTAGTCTAGTCTAAGTCTAGTCTATATCTAGTCTAATAAGTCTAGTCTTATTCTAGTCTATAGTCTAGTCTATAGTCTAGTCGATAGTCTAGTCTAATAGTCTAGTTTATAGTCCTAGTCTAGTCTATAGTCTAGTCTGAGTCTAGTCTAGTCTAGGTATAGTCTAGTCTATAGTCTAGTCTATAGTGCCTAGTCTATAGTCTATAGTCTAGTCTATAGTCTAGTCTAGTCTATAGTCTAGTCTATAGTCTAGTCTATAGTCTAGTCTATAGTCTAGTCTATAGTCTAGTCTATAGTCTAGTCTATAGTCTAGTCTATAGTCTAGTCTATAGTCTAGTCTAGTCTAGTCTAGTCTAGTCTATAGTCTAGTCTATAGTCTAGTCTATAGTCTAGTCTATAGTCTAGTCTATAGTCTATAGTCTAGTCTAGTCTATAGTCTAGTCTATAGTCTAGTCTATAGTCTAGTCTATAGTCTAGTCTATAGTCTAGTCTATAGTCTAGTCTATAGTCTAGTCTATAGTCTAGTCTATAGTCTAGTCTATAGTCTAGTCTAGTCTATAGTCTAGTCTATAGTCTAGTCTATAGTCTAGTCTATAGTCTAGTCTATAGTCTAGTCTATAGTCTAGTCTATAGTCTAGTCTATAGTCTAGTCTATAGTCTAGTCTATAGTCTAGTCTATAGTCTAGTTAGTCTAGTCTATAGTCTAGTCTATAGTCTAGTCTATAGTCTAGTCTATAGTCTAGTCTATAGTCTAGTCTAGTCTAGTCTATAGTCTAGTCTATAGTCTAGTCTAATATCTAGTCTATATTCTAGGCTATAGTCTAGTCTACTAGTCTAGTCTATAGTCTAGTCTATAGTCTAGTCTATAGTCTAGTATATAGTCTAGTCTATAGTGTCTATAGGCTAGTCTAGCTAGTATAGTCTAGTCTAGTCTATAGTCTAGTCTAGTCTATAGTCTAGTCTAGTCTATAGTCTAGTCTAGTCTAGTCTAGTCTAGTCTATAGTCTAGTCTATAGTCTAGTCTATAGTCTAGTCCTGATAGTCTAGTCTATAGTCTAGTCTATAGTCTAGTTCTATAGTCTAGTCTAGTCTATAGTCTAGTCTATAGTCTAGTCCTATAGTCTAGTCTATAGTCTAGTCTATCGTCTAGTCTATAGTCTAGTCTATAGTCTAGTCTATAGTCTAGTTCTTATAGTCTAGGCTGATAGTCTAGTCTATAGTCTAGTCCTAGCGTCTCTAGTCGTATAGTCTAGTCTATAGTCTAGTCTATAGTTTAGTCTATAGTCTAGTCTAGTAGTTTAGTCTCTAGTCTAGTCTATAGTAGTAGTCTAGTCTATAGTCTAGTCTATAGTCTAGTCTATAGTCTAGTCTATAGTCTAGTCTATAGTCTAGTCTATAGTGTAGTCTATAGCTAGTCTATAGTCTAGTCTATAGTCTAGTCTATAGTCTAGTTTATAGTCTAGTCAGATAGTCTAGTCTATAGTCTAGTTCTATTGTGTAGTCTATAGTCTAGTCTATAGTCTAGTCTATAGTCTAGTTTATAGTCTAGGTCTGTAGTCTAGTCTATAGTCTAGTATATAGTC